AAAAATTTTGTCTAATAAATCAACTTTAACATTGATGTGTTTATCAAGAAATCCCCAAATAGTTCTACTATGATTCCATTCATCGATCTGTTTTTGAACTTTTCTTTTATAAGCGCGTTCATATTTGAGTTTGTTTTTGATTTCTTTTGTTGTTAATTTAGATTTAACAAGAGACATTTTTTTTTGTTAGATTTACGAAAAAAAAGGTAATATATATTTTTTTAAAATCATGTGATTTCATTAAATTAGTTCATTAAAAAGTTGATTTTGAGTTTGTTGTTTGCTGATTCCTTTAGTTTTGCTTTAGTGTTTTTGTGTTCGACAGAATTTGTTATGTCTTTTAGTTTTGCTTCATAATGTTTTTTGTATTCGATTACACGATTTAGAAGAGATTTGTCTTCGCGATTTTCATAAAATTGACGTTTATGAAGCTGTTTATTTTGACATTTAGCGTAAACCCACGCTTTTAAAATTGTGTCGTAGTATATATTTTCAAAACCAGAAGTGTTTTTTGATGTCAACATTTTTTCAAAACTAATTTTTGAAAGAGCAAGGAAAAAAATCAGTCTTTTTATAATTAAAAATACTTTGAAATGACCAATCGTTTTATCGGTTAAACTTCGAATATTTTGGAATTGACCAATCGTTTTATCAGTTAAAAATTCGAATATTTTGAAAATATTTTTATTAATAAATATAAAAAAAAATAAAAAAATCAATAATTTAATGTTCTTTAAGAATAGCTTTTCCTTTTTTTCTACGTCTCGTTGTCTCAGAATCATTAGAAGACAATGAGGACATAGATCTATCCGAATCGTATTTTTCATCATTATCCAAATCTTGAATTATATATTCAAGTTTATTCTCGATATTATAACCTTTGAATTGTACTTTTTTTCTTTTAGTTGTATGTAATCTATTTTCTAATTTTCTTCTTACTTCGGGATATAAAATTGTATCTACGTCTAAATTATTTTCTTTTCTATGGTCTGTTAATTCAAATTTATCCACTTGTGAATTAAAATTATGGTTGTAGTATCGTATTCCATTATGTTCTTCGATTGTATTATGTTCTCCAATCATATATGTAATCTGTTCAAGAGTAACGTCTGAATTGAACTCGATGTCGAATCGAAGATTAATGAAATTTTCATATGATCCTTTATGAAAAATTCTTTTTACTAAGCAACAAATACACTCGAAATCACAAGGCCTTTTACTGTCATTTCTAAATTTTTTGTACTCAATAATATAGTCAAATCGATTATAAATTGAAGAATATTTTCTTTTGTTCTCTATCTGAATACTACCATTTACAGTAAAATATGGTGTATCTTCGAAATAGGTATATTGTTTTCGTAATGATGTATTCGATGTAAATACATTTACAAACGAACAAAAATTTAGATGACCGCCTTTCCTCTGGACTGTATGGGGCTTGTTATCGATTAATGTTAACAAAATCGAAAATTCCATGTTGTAATTGTAAAAATCATCATATATGAAGACTTTGTTTTCATCATAACCTAATAAAAAATAAAAATAAAATATTAGTCTATTTTTTTTAAAAAAATATTCTTAACTATATTTTTATCTTCGAACCAATGTTTGTCATCGTGTGATTTATGGTATGCATCAGGAAAAAGTAATTGAGTGAGATAGTCCTTTCCCGTTCTTGAATTACCCCAGATGTAAATATTGCATGGGGTAAAGCATCTTTTGAACGATTTTTTTCGACTTTCCTTTTCCTTCATTATCAAATACTCTAAATCTTTCAAGCTTCTAAGCCATGATCTCAGTAATAAATCCTTTTTGTTCTTTAATATATCTTCGACCGTTAAATTATTCTCAACAATATGATCAATTCGATTCATATCTTCCAATCGTTTTTCATTGATATCATCTTTATTGGTAAATTCATTGGCATTCGATAAGTATCGATAATTCCCAAATGCCCAAAATCCATTTTCAGCATTTGATAATTCTGAAGCTTTCCAACGAGCAAGAGTGCGTTTTTCTATACAGTCTTTATTACATACTTTACAAATCTCTTCCTTCTCCTGGAAATCACATCTACATTTTTTTCGATGTTGTGGATTTTTACATCGATTCCATTTTTTTTGAGAATAATCACGATTCTGATCAGAATTGCCATTCAAATATATGGGAAAGTTCATCGTTTGATGGTTAAATATTTTTTTTACACTTTTTATAGTTTGGCGTTTATCGAATTGGAAATATGCCTGTTCATGCAATTTTCCTGAGTCGGTAGATTCATATTGACCTGAAACGTATGTAAGTCCAAGTTTTTCCAATACAGCAAATTCCTCTTTTGTTTTTGGCAAAACACGTTGACATTTAATGTTGGATTCTTTGCAAGCTGAACAAGTAATTTCGTTATATTCATTCAATTTACAGCATTGAATACATTTTTTATCCTTGCATCGCCAATGACACTTCTGACATTTATCACATTGAGGAACTGTTCCTGTCTTCGAATACTCTTTCTCATGTTGCTGTTTATCCTTATCAGACAAATTTTTCTTGCATTTGTATTTGTTAATACATGGAATGCAATAGTAAATAGTTGACATAATATGTCTAAATCTATAATTTCCAGACATGTTTTTTGTTAGTTTTTTAGTTAATTTGTTTTTTTTTTAAATGATGATTTATCGCGGTACTCTTGTCTATTTATATTTTTTTTAAAAAATCATCTGACCATTTTTTCTTAAAAAGGAAATTTTAATCTATTTTCACATCACGTGCCGCAGCAATTTTGTTTTGTAAAACGTTTTTTTGTAAAAATTAAAAAAAGCTTAAAATG